GGTCACCCTCGAGAGGAACGGGGGGCTGTGCGAGGCTGCGAGCGGGGCCCGAAGGTAGGCGGGAGCAGGAGGGGTGGGTGAAGCGGCGGTCGGGGCCTGGCGAAAATTGGGCCAGGTGGTAGGGTCCGGGAGGGCGGGTATCGCCTCTCCGCAGCCGCACGGTCCGCGGGTCTGCCTGCCCGCCGCCAGCGCCCGGGTCGGCCGCGCGGGTGCTGCTCGGTGCCTGCTCGGGAGTTTGAATGAGTCCTTCCTCCTCCCCTAGAAGGCGAAGTAACCGGGCTGTCTGCGTGCCACATGTTCTCCTCCCCTCTGCAGGCCTCTTCTAGGGTAGTGGAGCCTACAGGAGCTTCTATGGCTGGCAGGAGGGTCCTCAGCGCCTTTCTTGTAAGGATTTCCTAAGGCACTTAAAAGATTTTTACGAGTGATGACTTTCAGGCTCATTTTGTTTGCAGCCACGACCAAACTCCTGTGTATGTATGATCGTACTTGGAGTCGTTGAGGCTTTGAAGGAGAGAGGCTTAGGAGAAAAAGAGTTTATTGAAAGTGTGGACAAAATAATCTATTGTAGTGCTAAACGTTGCTGTACAACTAAGTTACAATTAGAAAAGTGCCTTCTATAATGATGATAGTCACTTTTGCTGGTAGTAGCCTAATAGTTGATTGGTGAGGTTAATTATATTATAGTAATCATCAGAGACCTGTTTCAAGAAGAACGTAAAATCCGTTTTCTAATGTGTATGCTTTCTTCTGAGAGAAAAATGTGTTTTTCATGGTTTTGTTCTATATTGCATGCAGAAGAGGCTGTTCTTCAGACAGGGATAAATGTTTTTAGTTCCGGTGGGGCTTTTTTTCTTTATCTTTTCTCCCCCATTTTGTTTCACTATTCCCATTCACTAATGCATTAGGGTCCAGCATGACTCAAATTCTTAGTTGCTACCATGATAAAAATGGGATAAAAATGTGGGAATAACATGATTTATGAAGCATTGGTTTATCTAAACTCGCAGAGCTTGATTTACCAGGTTTTTAAAATTACTTATAGAGATTTTGGAAAAAGCATGGTTTCCTGTATATGAAGTAGATCTGAAGGGGAACATAACGTAGGATACCAACATCAATAATTGTTTGAGAGCACCCTTTGGGACTGTATGTCTTAA